TACGTATGTACGTATGTATGTATGAACTCGTACTACACCTTACGAGACGTCCGGCATGTCCCGATGCAATCTAGCTCCCCCACAGGCCCTAGTCATGGAGTCATTCTTCGGCTTTCAATGCATGACGCTTTCAGCCGAGGGCCGCAGACGGCTGCTACCAACATCGACCCGCCTCCTGGAGGGCTCCAGGCATGCAAGGGCAGTCAAAGGCTGAATCTTTGCATGCTCACTGTCTATGCGAGTGCTCAACAGCGAAGACGGCGCATCCTGAAGCTCGCAAGCCTTTGCACAGCGAATTGGTGACACAGGTTCGGATGCCTGACGGCTCCTGGGTGGACTGTCCACCGAAGCTCCTCACCCAGGGTTGGTCAACTTACATGCGCACTGACACATCACAGCGTCGTTTGTACTCTTAGCTATGAGGGTTCCACTTCGCTGGTTAGGTGACATAGGCAGTGGACTGGCTATTCCACTCTCTGATGGCCAGTCAAAGGCTGCACAAGGTTTGAGGGGCGGTTGCTGGCACAAGGCCCAAGGCCTTCACGATCAATGCAGGCGATTTGATCCAGGCCAGGCTGCAATTGTTGGACGCCTTGCGCATGTAGCTTGGTAGTATTAGCTGCAGTGAACTGGCTGGCATCCGCATGCTCACTCTGGGTGTTTCGAAGGCTTGGACCAACGATGTCTTTCTCTCCAACTCTCACCGCGTGGTGAATCCACCTCCTGGAGCAAGGGTCTTACAGGTGAGCCGTCTTCCTGCCCCCTGCCACATCATCCAAGTTTGGTGTCCCCAATCCTGAAGCATCCTGCTTCCCTCCTTGTAGCAAGATCCTTGACTACTCCCCTTCACAAGCAAGGACCGGCATGACCGAATCAGCATCGTCTTCTTCACTGGCCCTGCCAATGATACGATAGTGGAACCCCTGCCGAGTCCCCAGCGGTGCACTGATAGCAGGAAAATTAGGGCCACTTCAAGTAGACTCAGTAAATGTCTTTTCTGGTGAAGTCTGCAGGCTCAGGTGCCCAGGTTTGGGTTCTGCAGACATTGTGAACCTTGGCATGTCCACTTTGGGTAGTTTCAATGAGCTGTGGAATCTCTCTGATGCTTTGATACCACAGGCCAACCTGTGTCAGTTCCGACAGGCCAGCCAGGCCACGGGCTTGCCGAAACTAGGAGTGGCTCAGGTTTCGAAAGCTCTGTTGCAAACAGCATGAACGCGAAACATTTTCTTGGCTTCCTCTCAACCGCTGAGGCAGGCAGCTGGGTCCATATAATAGATCAAACTTGCTGCCATAGCAAGCCCGGCGTGGGATTATGAGAACGCTCGAGAGCTGCGACAGGTATTCTTCCATCTCCGCCGGTGAGCACCTGAATAAGAAGCTCAAAGTTTCCAACGTGTGATTGCCGCGCTGTCCTGAGCAGCCATCTCGACTAATCCTCTGCATGCGCAGTGGATAAGTAGAGGAAGCCTAGCGCACCAAGACAAAGAACTGATTCAGAACACCGTCCAGCATCAACTGCTTTTGTGTGCACTTTGCTGTTTGGCAGTGCGAAGAAAACCCTGCGCGGGTAAGCTGGTTGATCAAAATTCCTACCGGAGTTCTGAGATGCAAGCAGCAGAATCCGAAGGTTTAAGTCATTTATTTGCAGGTGCGGTTTTGGAATGCTTGGGTAGGCAAACTGGTCCGCCGGCTGCTTAGTAAGTAGGTCTTGTAGGTGCAGAGTAGGGCACTCGACCCCTTGGGTCATGCCCAGTGTGTAGATCAGACGATCTCTCCGCATCGATGACCAAAGCAGCCTTGCACGAGCATGGCTTTTGCTCTTCACGTGGAAGCCAGGCTGGATTAGGGTTTCTGGGGAACCAGAATAACCGACCTGACTGCAGCTGCTCAACAAGAAGACTTAGGCCTTAACAGCGTGGCCACAGCCTTTGGCTGAATTTAACTCCGCATTTCGGAGCTTCTAGCTTGTTTTGAAGCTTCAGGCATGAAAACTGCAAGGCTTAACTTGGACCCACCCCTGCATGAAGCTACGCACGACCACCAGGTCAGAGTCCAGATAGCACAACGTGTGAACAGCTACCAACAGCCTTACAAGTCACTAGAGCTACTAGAGCTGCAAGTGGACATGTTTTGCAAACCAGAGTTCAAGTGCACTCTTGAGACCGCCGGCTGTTCATGGCATGGCAGCACGCCTTCGGCTTTCCCCGCACTATGGGGCTCTTTCGCGGTCAGCGTCTCGGGGACTGAATGCCCAATCAAGCCGTATTACGCAGATGTAAGCCAAATGGTTAGTGGGATCAACACGAGGGCCTAAGGCAGGTATTGTTTTATTGTGCTTGGCACTGAGCATCCCAAGGTTGGCAGCCGGCGATGGTGAGCCATCAAAGCTCAGTATGGAGCTCGGGCGGATCTGCGTTCGAGGTCAGCCCTGAGGCTACAGACTGGTAGACTTATGTGTTCGTCAGTCTGCTGCGCGTGGTGCAAGGCCTGATGCTGCTGTCCAGCTAGGGGTTCGCAGTTGAGCTGGAGTAAGTTCAGATCAGGGAAAGACGTTGGAAGGACCTTCCGTGGTAGCTTCTACGGAATTCCCCAAGCGACTCACCTTCCCATATCCATTCCAAAGCTATTATCTTGAGAACTGGCATGGTGGTTGCTGAGGTTTAGATGTCGATGCCAAGGCGGCCATCGGATTGCTTGTCTTATGGGTTTGTCCTTGAGTTTATGGATATTCGGCTTTTGTCGTGATGCTGTTCGGCATGGTATAATAATACTTTTCGGTGATGTCCTCGGACAGCATGTGCTTCCCTGTAAAGAAAAGTCATGACATGAGTCCTTACTTGAGCAAGGACGAATTGATGCAAACAACGGCAAAGGTCATTTCTTGTTTCAAGCTGGCACAAGCTGATCCTGCTGGGTTCGTGAGCCCTTGCACCCGGCTGCCCTGCCTGAGATTTGATTCCCTCAGCTTTCAGAGGAGTGTGAGGAGATCGCGGCCATTTGCCGACACCTGGACCTTCGCATCGAGGCCCCCTTGCTTTTCATTGGGGAAAGAGGTCTACAAGTTTTTTGCTTTTGTTTGGAGACGGCATCCACCTCATTTGTAGATCGCAGAGGTGCTGCCGGCGCCGCCGGGCAGCGCTGCCTCGAAACGCGTCACAGCTACTCGAACGGAAGACCTCTTTGAAGAGGTGCTTCGGAAGGTGTGCATAGTCCTGGCTGGCATGGGATATCAGGTTTGATCGACCTGTGCAACTTGCTGGCAGATGTTTGTAACAATGTTATGCGAAGCCCATCGCACATGATAACTTCACATTGCATGGTCAAGCATCTTTGTGCAGCATGCCAGGCAGAACCCGAGCAGGCGAAGGTTGAGCCACGTCCTGCGGAAGTCAGTGGGAAGGCTTTGGGTCTGAAACGGTTTCGGCATTGAGTAGTTGAAGGGGTTGAGTTCTTTCAGGCTCCAGCTTTGCATCGGTGAAAGGTTTGGCGGGTTGTCTTCTTATCTCAGGGGACTTGGCGGGTGCTGTTTGGTCTCAGAATGGTTTGTGATGCTCTCCGTCTCTATGACATGTGGCACCCATTTTTGTTCTGCAGGTGAATCCAGGTGACAGGCTGCTATCACTTAACTGCTTGAACGTCATGCGCTGGAAGCGGAAGCCGACCTGGGCCCAGGTTCGCCTGGAGGAGCGCTTCGGGCGGAAGCCGCCGAAAGCGGCGGTCGAGGCCTGTGCTGCAGTGCTCCAGTTCGTGGGGAGAGCGCAATGTTGTCATCATTATCTCCTTTGACTGCTTCCTGCCTTTCTCTGGATTTACTAGTAAACATCTTCCGAGACCAGCTGCTCTGCTTGTGACTATTCTGATGCTGTAGCATGCTGCTTGTTCAAGGGAAGCATGTGCGTTGTTCTAGCCCGGCATGACTGTTGCAGAAGTATGATGATTTGGTAGCAATGCCTTACAAAGTTTGCCATACCGATATCACGTGGATGGCTCCTCAAGTGCTGTATATGTGAGGTGCATAGAGTATAAAGGGAATGTCAAAATTTCCGTCTAGGTTCTGCTAGAAACGAAGAGATTTATGGCACTACTTATTTTTTCCTTGATGAAGAGGGTGTACTGGATATCTCGCCTGGTTCACATAGTATGAACTCCATGTCCCTCGTTTTGAGACCTGAGCCGTCTGCCAAAACTCAAGCCCTTGCCGTGAAGGCTGAGACCCTCTTAGAGAAGAGCCAGTTGCCAAAGCTCACCGACTTCTATCGGGCACTCGTGGATGCTTATCCTGGCTCCCAGACCCAACTGCGTGCTGTGATGGAGGAGTCATGCGTGCCCCACACGTGGTTTATAAATGTTTGTAATCCCTCATGGACATGTCCATGCCTTTCAAACCTGTTCAAGAGGGCTGAGTAATTTGTCGGATGGTGGCTAAAATATATGCAAGCAAGTGCTGTTTTCGGGGGATAGATCGGTAGGAGGTGCTCAGCCAGCTGAAGCCAAGTCGCACAGGGCTACTGCTGCATGGCACGCAAAAGCGAGGCTTCCATGTGCCTCTGGCGAAGCTTCTCACCCTGAATCTGCGCGCTGCAGGGGTCTCCGGGCAGTGGCCTCAGACTCTGCCAGAGCAGTGTGTACTTTGCCAATTTGAAGAGAATCCCGACACATATTGCTGAGGGAAGGCACGCCATCCAGAAGCACATGAGCTACTGCCAATATTAGCCTTACCAAGGGACCCTTAACATTGGACCTAGGGGTCCCTCTTGCAGTTTAGAATAGTCCCCAACATATTCACTAATAAGGAACCCTAAATTATGTAGGAAATATTGACTGATATTGACTGTATGCTTTTCTCAGTCGTTTGGGCATACCAGGACAGATGCTGCCAACCTGCAGCATTTCGTGTTGACTGACATCAAGTTTGCTGGTACAGTAGCTTAGCCACTGAATTAATGAACGCATTTTCACCACGGTTGCACGATAGCTCTGCGATAAGTTTTCCCATTTGTCGGAACAACTTCTCGCATAATCTGCGTGCTCAGAGACTTGCTGGTGGCTGATAAGGAATGAAGGAATGGCATACAGGGTTATTATTGGGCGTTATGTGGAAACTATTATGGGGATCCATTCTCGCAACTCACAGCTACCATTACTTCCATTAGGACTAACAATAGAAGCATCAGCAAGCAAATTATCAACGCCCTCATGCCACTTACTTGCAAAATTGTTGTCGTATCCAACTGAAGCCTGCGACTGACCTGGCAGTAGCCCTGGTCCCAACAATATCAGTACTCCTCCCTCTTCCTCTGCAACCCTCAACTTTGAAGCTACCCATCTCCAACTACACGGTCTGCTGCATAGTCATGCACGCCCACGTTTCAAATTGTGCAAGCAATGCTCCCTGGCCGGACTTGCACAAGGACTGTTCCTAGACATCTTTTTTCTCGGTCCTTTCACACCTTCAGGCTGACATCGTCCTCTAGCGATTCAGACTCCGAGGACAGCGTGAGAATCTGCTGCAAGAATTTCCCGTTCAAGCTTGGCATGCAAGTCCCTACAGTACTATCACAGCTCCGCCCTTGTTGTTGCGGCACACCGCTGTAGTTGTTGATTCGACCTGCAGTGAAGGCATGATCCATCTAGGTCGTGGTGACCTTTAGAGATTCTGCTGCAAGAAATCAGTCGGGCTTGCGAGGAGAAAAAGAAGAAAAAGTGCCTTGATTGCAGTACGTGTGGGCGGCTGTCATACTGATAGTCCACGGTACACTGATGCGCTGTCATGGAGCTCAGCAGATGGAGCGATGGTAGCCTGTCAGGAAGAAGAAGAAAAAGTTGAAGAAGGACCACGTCTCATAGCGTCAACGTCCGGGTGTGTCTAGCCCTCTTGAAGCAATCTCACCCGAAGCGCTCACTCGCATGCCCTGCGAATGCCCTGCCAAAATCGGCATGCTGGGCTGTAAGATTCTTCTTGCAGAACATACTCAAAAGTTGAACTGTAGACCTGCTGCATGCCAAGGCCTCACACTTACCATTGAGCTAGCCAAACCATGCCTGGCATAAATCGGCTGCAAACTGCACTAATGCTGCCTCTAGGCTTGAGCTTGTTTAAAAAGTTGCAAAGCGGTTTCGCTTCAGCTTTCGGGATCCGAAAAGCTCCAAGGGACATGGTAGACAATGCCCCCAAAAGCACTCAAACGCCTCCTTCCTGGCGCAGAAAACAGCCTGCTCCGATGTTTCCTGGAGGAGGCAAAGAAAGCGGAGAAACGCAAGAAGGAGATGGGCGCCCAAGCCAAAGAAGATGAGGAGATGAAAAAGGAACAGGATGATGAAAAGGAGGAGGTCTGTGCCTCAGGCTCAGGAGATACTTTGTAGTTTTGGGAAGGTGTGGCATACCTTTGAATGGTTGGTTCACGGTGTGAAGGTTGCCGTCTTGTTTCTGATGGCAAGATTGCAAACTCGACTAGAAAGCCCCAATATGCCCCACGAACTTCAGCCATTTTTGGATCGCACGTTCCTCGCCGCATTGCAAGGAAGACAGCAAAGCCAAAAGAGCCAAAGGCTGCAAGCTAAGTGTTGCGCTGATGAGTGACTAGCACCTTTCTGCTCGCATGGACCATCGTGGAGTCCCAAGACGTGTTGCATGCGCACACATGTGCACAGGACTGGACCCCTGTCCTGAGGCTCTGCAAGGACTCTCGATGTCAAGACTTGCACTGCCAAGGAGGCCAGCATAAGTTTTCGCAATGCTTTGAGGTACAGTACGTCTAGAAGATGAGAACGTTTTCTGAGACAAGAGGTGGATGAGGAGCTGCAAAAGGAGCTGGAGTTTGAGAGGAGCAGGCCTCGTACAGTGCTTGATCATGTTTGATCGAAACCATGCAAGGGTCATCAAGCTATGCAAGTGTTTCGAGAGAGCATTGCAAGTGTTTCGAGGCCCAGACCACAGAAGTGAGACGTTTGTCATCTTCTTCATAGCCTCGCAGAACAGGTTGCCCGGTAGCCCCCCTTTCAATCCAATGAAGCACGACCTCTCCTTGTCGTTTGCGGTCACAGGAAGCCTGTCCCGTAACTGAGTACAGTTCCTATTAGCAGTAACCCTTACACCTCAGTATGCCCTAAATCCCTGAATCCTAAATGGGCAGAGTCAGACGCCAAAGAAGCGGAAGCAGCTCCATTGCCCGCCGAGCTCTCGCTAAAAGGAGGTGTGCAAGTGCGCGGTGACAATTGCAGGATTTTCGGTGATGTGCGGGTGAGAGCAAGAGAGAGAAGGGGCTGCTAAGCTAGTACGCTAAGTCTTCAGAGGCGCAGTCACAGTTACATTGCCCGTGAGTTAGGGTCTCCAAATCAAGACGAAGCTACTGAGCCTTCACTGAATTGCATGGCCCAAACAGTCATGGCACTGCCATGGTCTCACAGTGTCTCACAATGAAGCACTTGCACCACTTGTTAGGAAGGTCCTAAGACTCGAAGCAAGCACGTTGCCGATGGAAAGTCCTGGGAGGAGCAGGGATATCTACCCCCTGCTACTCTGCTGCTGGCCTACGGCCATATTGGAGAAGTTTCTGCTGCGTAGTAGCGTAGCACGACACCGCAGAGCAGCGCACATCCAGCTACCCAAACATCCTCATTGGAGTTGGCGACTCGGATAGAATTCGTTCCCGGCCATGGCTCCATGTGACAAGCGAGCGGAGTTTGCCCAACAGAAGGCTGTGACCAATCGCGGCACTGCAGTGCTGGCTAGTGAGCAGACGTAAAAGGGAAGAGACACTTGAACAGGCACGCAAGAGGCGCACCGATACCACACTGTGGTGGTTTGGAGCATGACCCATCCAGGCTGCCATGAGACAGAGGTCTCTTGGCCAAGATTCTCTGGCAATTGCTGGCCATCAGGTGGAGATCATGCAGGACAGCCGCTTGCATGTTCCGTAATGGAAGACTGGCTTGCGAGTAATTTGCAGAGTTTTTTTCGTTTTACCGTCTTATACCGTCCACCACTTTGTGCACTTTTTTCTAACGCCGGTTCATCCACTATCTGACCCGAGGGAGCCATGGGTCTGGTAGCACAACTGATGCACCGCACAAGAGCCATGATGACACCGGATTTGCGGGTCTATTGATTCTGCTATGTTCCCATTGACAAAAAGTGTCCCCATCGCACGAGTTTTATGTGCTGCCAAGTCCTTCACCAAACCACGATGTCTACCTGTAAGCGAATAGAAGATTGTTCATGACGACGCTGGGCTTCATGCCAATGCCAGAGGAGCATGCTGCAGGCCAATCCGTGCCAGGGAGCAAGCGCCAGAAAACCGTTGAGCACCCGGAGGCAGGAGGGTTCGTTTTGCTTGTAGGTTCGGATCGTTTCTCGTTGAAAGCCGGCCCCCACGAGCTTGTCAAGCCTTAGCCTGGTATAGCCCCTGCTGTATGGTTGGCTGAGCTGCACATCCCTGACAAGCATTGTTACTGGCATCGCACGATCACGCCGTCCACCTGGACTCACATGAAGGAGATGACCAGGCGCAAGTATGAAAGTCACAGTGAATCCACAGGCTTAGGGGTTCTCAATGAACGCCTTGCAGATGCGAGGTATCGTTATGGCACGGACGGGAGTGGAGGTTTCAAGGATAAACGTTTTCAATTGTGCGGGTGGGGGGTTTCTGTTGTCGCTCTTAGTCATGATGGCAGCTGGGAGTGTTTGGGAACCAAAGCGGGCGTTTTGCCAGGCCCTAAACAGACCGTTCCTCGTGCTGAGCTTTATGCGTTAGTTTCTCTTCTTGATTCCACAGATGGCAACGTGGAATTCAGCTGTGACTCCCAGATTACAGTCAAGAAGCTGAAGCGTCTCATAAGATCCCATGTTCTGAAAACAAAAACCCCGCATGCTGACCTCTGGCTTCGGGTGCAGGCCCACTTAGACACACGGCGAGTATACCCTGTATGGATCAATTCCCATTTAGGTCGTGAAGCTTTCTTTGACAAGTTTGGTCGTGATTTGGAGTGGGCCCACCTCTCAAATGACAGCGCTGATAGCAGTGCGGGTTCAATAACACACTGGCTTAGCCAGCGACCTGATGTGCGGACTTTTGCTGATATCAATGCTTGGACTGACAATCGCACACAACGACTCCAGAAGCATCTCATCCCACGTGTTCAG